GAAATTATTCAATTCACCTATTCTCAATAGAGATTTGTATAGAACTACTCTTATCAGTAATCGATTCCGTTATTTTTTTGTTTCAGGATACGATAATTTTCTGTATAGTTATTTCGAAAATATCTTACTTTTTTCTTGATATTCTAAACTGATAACAAATTTGAAACCAAGTAATTTTTAAGTAATCAGGCAAAAAAATCTAACTTTATCAGTATTCCGACAAAAGTTTTCACGTACCAGAATTTGCATGTGTTGTGTTCTGAGAATCACCATGATTCGATTTTGATGAAGATGCACCTAAAGTTAAATTTAAAAGTTCTTAACAATGTCACATTCAATTCAATGAATAAAGAATTATCACGATAAAAAGATTAATTTCATGGTTCGTTTTATGCATTGAATCCTTAAGAGAACTTAGTTTCTAGATAAAAGTCCGTGCAACGTAATTAAAGTTTCTCTTAGCTTTTTATCGTTCATAGAGTTATACTGTGTTTTGTTTTCGTTTGTCAATATTATTTTTATATGTTCGAGTTTTAGATAGGTGTTTTTCTGAAGACTGAGTTTTCTGTTTATAAAAGAAAAAAATTGTGAGTATTAGTAACAATTCTTCTGATTGAAAACTAGTATTCACTATCATGATCGGTAGATAATGAAGTCTGTGGTTTTGAGGTAGTTTATGCAACTTCGTTTTGCTTATTGTCAACTGTTTCTTCTATTTCTATGAGAGTGATATTACTGTTACGTGCATACTGTTTAATCCTTTTTACAATTAAAGTAGTTCCAGGCATTAAAATAACTTGAGGGTGTGGGTGTGGGTGTGGGTGTGGGTGTGGGTGTGGGTGTGGGTGTGGGGTGTGGTTGTGAGCTTTCTCTCTAAATACACGTACACCCACACCCACACCCACACGCCCACACCCACACCCTGATGAGTCGAAATCGATTCATGTCTTCACATGGTCCAATTGAAGTTCACATTCTTGATAATATATCAATGATAAAAGAACTTGGTATTTCAGCTATTTTAACACAACCTATTCATGTCGGTGGTGCACCTGATTTTAATTATGTTCATGGATTTCTTGAAAGAGGTGGTCCTCTTTTTTGGACTCTCTCTCAAATTCAATCTCATCAAACATTTATTGATCCAAGTAATATTCAACTTTATTATTCATCCAAAATGGATACTGATCATGGACGTAATTTATGGCACCCTATGAAACGACTTTCAGATGGAACATATCAACATAAAGCTCGATGGCCTAAAGTACTTAATGCAATGTTTTCCATTTATCCATTATTAACCTATAAATCATTTGATCAAGCAACAATTATGTTCAAACATATGATTTTCACTGGATTACCATATAAACAATCACCTTGTTGGAGTATTTTTCAAGAACCAAATAGATTAATAAATTATTATCCATTTAATATAGAAGAATATCGACGAGCTTATTTAACATTTTCAGAATGGATATTGAATAATTTTGAATTATATTCTAAATTTGAATTGACACCTATTCAAAAGAAATTACAAGAGACTGATAAATCAGAACAAATACCTATTTGTTATGGACTATGTCATCAAAATCAGTCGTTTAGTCAATCATCAAGCGAAAGAACATTTAGTGGAGAATATATTGCTGCTTTAAATCGTGCTGGTATTGGTCGTCGAGAATTAATCAATGCTGATGAAATAGTAGAAGGACTATTGAAAGCATTTCCAGATGATAAAAATCCTTGTTTACGTGTTTGGCCAAAACAATTTGATTTTAATGATGATCTTTATGAATCAGCACGTATGGCTCGATCAATTCGTGTTCTTATTAGAGTTCATGGAGCTGGTTTATCAAATACTGTATTTATGCGACCAGGTGCAATTCTCTATGAAATCACTCCACCTGGTTGTCGTATATTGACATTCTTTTATCGACGTTGGGCAGAAGTGTTCAATCTACAACATGCATTATGGAGTCCTGAGGATACAGGTGATTCTTGTATACATGAAGGAGCAAGTAGAGTAAATGTCGATGAAGTTGTTAGTGATGTGATCAATTTAGTTAAAAATGAAAATCGATATCGAAGTGGTTATTTATTTCGAGCATTTGATCTTATTGTAAAAGAATAAGAATCATCCAGGTGGCTAACTCTAAAAGGTGGATAGAAGATGAATGTAAGAAGAAAACAGCAGTTCCCTGGACTTCGAAAAACTACGACGAAGTCTTTACCCGTATTGTTTTTTTTGTTAACTCCTAATATGAAGGAGTCTCTTTTTTTTCAATTGTTTGATATTTTTTCAAATAGAGCCTCATAATTACAATCTCTAGGATCCTCTTGATACGTCCATCAAAGATTCAGACAATCTTTGCCCATCTTGCTGGCAATTGTTCAATCCACATTTGTAGAAACTAGCCGGTTGTGATTCGAGGAAGGAGGTGCAGTCGGATTTGATCTCATGTAAGTCTTCGTATTGTTTTTCGCACAAATGGTTTCGAAGGGATCGAAACAAATGATAATCAGATGGTGCAAGGTCTGGTCAGTACGGTGCGTGCTCAAGAACGTCCACTTCCAATTGTCTAATTTTATTTTGAGTCAAATTTGTGCCATGTAGTCTTCCATTGGCATGCAAGAGAATGACGTTATTCCGATTTGCGAAGACCGGTCGCTTTTGAAGTAGAGCTTCATGCAAACGCTGCGATTGTTGAAAGTAAACATCGGCGATAACCTATTGATTGGTATCTAAGAGCTCGAAATAGATGATACCCTTCATATCCTACCAGGCGTACAACATTATCTTCTTTGAGTGTAAATCTGGTTTTACATCCGGTAATAGTTTTTAGTTAGAATCGAGCCACTGCTTTCTACGATGAAATTTGACGTAGCAGATTCATTATTTATCTTCAGGAATGATTCCTTCCAAAAATGGATCGTGGTTTTGTCGGAACAACAACGAAGCACAAGTCGATACTCGCTGAGCTAAATTGTTTGTGGACAATTGTTTTGGAACTCAGTTTCCGTACGTATGGACCGTGCCTAGAGCGTGAAGATGATGATCCACTGTCATAGGAGAACTGTTGAGTTGCGCGGCCAATTCGCGGGTTTTTCGACGTGGATTAATTTGGAGCAAAGTCTCTAACGCTTTGTCGTCAAACTCCACAGGTCGCCCTGAGCGAGCTTTATCCGTCAAGGTGGTATCGTCGAAATGGAACTTAACCAACCAACGGTTACATGCAGAATCGTCGGCGACCTCCTCGTCGTATGCAACACAAATATTCCTTGTTGCTGCCGTTGCCGTTGACCCTCGATTAAGCTCGTACAGCATACAATGACGAATATGACTTTTTCGGTCATCTATTATATTTACAACAAATAAACGCTATCTTCTTTATTTATGTTCTCTCAAGTCAATAAACTTGATATTGACCATTACCTTCGTATTATGTAATTCGATACGTGACATGACGTAATGTTAGGAAAAATTAAGCGATTTTTTGCAAGAATATTCTAGATTCTCAGAACTTATGTTACAATTCAATACTTCATTTAGTAGCTACAATAGAGAGTTAGAATCGTTTATTGTATACACTGCACGATCAGGGTGTGGGTGTGGGAGTGGCTTTGGGTGGAATGATGTCACACACTCACAGCCACACCTCACACGTCGTCCCACACCTACACTCACACCACCCACACCACTCATCCACACCTACACCCATACCCACATCGTACACACACCCCACACCCCACACCCCACACCCCACATTCACACCCACACCGTGAAAATGCAAAGGTGGATGGGACGAAAGGATGATGAGCAGAGCGGGACGGATGCAGTTAATATTCAGAAAAATAATCTACGAGGATCAGCGAGATGGATTAGTAAGATCCGTAGTACGGAGCTGGCAGGACATTAACATTCGATGCTGGGCACATCTTTGATTTGTTGGTGGATTACGTAAACTTCGTGATCGTTGACCATTACAATCAAATTTTGTTTGTATATAGTCAGAGATATCAGTCCATGTTTCTAAACAAGCTGCACGAAATTTTGAACCAGCAATATAATAAAATAAAAAATTAGTCTAAATAGAAAAAGATAAAATAGTCCACAGAATTCATGGGCTTGTCTTAAACCAACATATCATATTTGTCTTTTTCTAGAGAAATTTACGGACCATCGAATGGCATATGAATAATAATGTTTTATGAAAATTTTCATGTGTGGATGGTCGGGACAGTGATTATAGTCCTAGAGAAATACATATGATACTCATAGATGTTCTGATTTCTAACATATTCTAAGATAAACGTAGGCAAACTTTATTTTTTAAACTCAATTCAATACAGTTTTAGATGGTTTTTCATATACCATAATCAATATTTTTCATCGTTGCTTTTATCATATTTAAAGTTGACGCTTTTTTTAACTTTTAGGTCATTTTTAGACTATCCAGCCTTGTACTGTGTTCAACTCTGTACTGTAGAACAGATGAATATCAACACGAAACTTTCTCGAATATTGTACAGTATTGAATCATGTATTCCTGTATAGAGAGGTTGACATGCGTTGATGATATTTTAACAATACTCTACAACGCTATAAAAAAACGATTTATGCTTTACCATTCAACACAGCATTCTTGACAAACTAGTATGAATAACACGTTAGATCTATTCAAGAAAATAAAAAAGAACTTATATATGTCATGTGCATTTTAAAAATGAATTTTTCTATGTATAAAAGCATTATATCAATTTATTAGAATCCTGTGTTGATAATTGATGCATAAAAAATTTGAATGAGTCTACTGGGAATATCATAAAATTATTATCAATATTCTGCCCTCTTAAAATAGGAAATTAAGATATTTCAAGGGACAACCTTGCAAGTTGATAATGAGTCCCAATTGTTCTAAATCATATAGTAGAGCTCAATAGTGTACCATTATTGAGAAAGTTTTACATTGAGGAAGCTTTTCCTTCCCTAAAAAATTCAATTTTGATCACAGTTGTTTATTTTTTTGGATTTGTAGCTCATCCGACAGAGCAATGTGTGTACTTTCGAATGCGCTATAGCTGATTGATTTTATTTTGAGATTTAAGGAAATCACATAGGTTTTTGGTTTTTATGTTTTCGTGTATGTCAGATTTCTCTGCCTTTTTTAACACTAGAAAACTGGGATTGGTATCAAAATGAAGGTAGAATTCAGCACTACAACTTAACAGAGTCAGATTTTTGGATTTCTTCATTACCGTATAATGTGTCACAAATTGCTCTACAAAATCACAAGTAAGACATCTTAGTTTGAGATAAGTCGGTAAGTTCAGCAGAATCTCTGATCGTGAAATGATTTATTTTTGTTTACTTTCCTTCTCTATAAGTATACTTACTGCTGAATTCATTTGACGCCAGATATTAGTTAAATTACTTATTAAATAACGCATTTCATATTCTTTAGTATCTATATCGTATGATAGGTTTTTCCAAAGCATATAATTAATACAAGCTGGTATTGTAAATAAATAAAAACTTAATGAATCTGTAACAAGCATAATAGTTAATACTGTTTGTTGTTTATTGAATGAAATTGCATTTATTGAATTTGTAGCATTTTCAGGATTTATTAGTATTTGTGTTCGTTGTCGTTTAGCGATTAATAATTCATAAATAGTAAAGAAATTCACTAATAATATAAGACCAGGTATAAAATAAAACATTGCTGGTTGTACAAATCGAAATAATGCTCTAAATTGTTCACGGAGATCACACGCTATTTTATTTTTATTTATTGTGTATACTAATGGAAATGATAAAGAAGAGAATATAAATGTAAGAAATATAAGCGTATACATTGAATAACGTGCATGCTCTATTGTACAAAAACGTTTCGCTAAAAATGGTGAATGAACTGCAATATAACGTTCTATTGTAATGATAACCATAATCCAAACACTAGTAAGTGTAAAGAAATCGTGTAAATAAATAATAACACAAGATGAAAGAAATACTAGATATTGATCCCATATCACTGAGTATGTAAAATATGCAATAAGAACTAATGAATCAAATATAGCTAAATATGTTATAAATACACTTGATGATGTATTACGTAATGAACGACGATTAATAACAATAAGTGCAAGACCATTTCCTAATACTCCAAATAAAACCATGCAACATTGAATAATCGTTACCCAATAATCTACTTCACGTACAAATTCATCTATTTCAGCACATTTTGAAGTATCATTTAAGTTATTAATTAATGAATGATTATTATCATGTTTAATATTCAATGTAGTAAAAGAGTGAGTATTATTTTCATGCATTATACTTAAAATTCTATAAAAATTTAAACGTTAACATAAAATGATGGAAGAAAAGTTATCAACAAGGTATTTTTGATTTTTTCCGACAATGTTAAGCAATTAACATTATTACAAATAGTAATTTTAACAGCTAATGAAGTCCTCTCTTATCAAGCTGCCGAAAAAAAACCGACATAATAGTTTTCATCTCCTTCAAGGTTTTATCGTAGCCCATTTTTAAAACAATATTTTTTTAAAGAGCAAAAATTGGGTGTCGGCTCTATTTCTTCTGATCTCCTCTTGCAAAGTTTTCTGAGACCTGAAAACTATCTTGTTGAATTTTTTTAGAAACTTTGTCATCTTAGTACTTTGATAGAATCTTGGTAAAAGAAAATTTCATTAGATATTAAAATCGATATCTGAAATTGAGTTAATTATTGAATATTATAGAAAAAAAAAGAATAAAAACATGTTGTTGCTAAACTTCTTCTACAACCTTAGATTTATTAGTATTTAAAAGAAAGTCAAACAAAAAGGAAGTCTTCGAAAACTTTATCGAAGTACAACTGTACGATACAATTTATTTCTATATGAAAAGAAACTTGTGAACGAATGTCCTATGATGAAAAGATAACGTATTATAGAATGTGATAAAAAAAAGCGAAATGATTATCATCCATCTAATGAACAATATTTTTCCTTAACTATGATAGATAGCAATGTCAATAAAAGGTCGTTTGAATGTATATTCCATGTTCATCTTATAGACTAAACATTTACACAAAAATTTCCTCTCTTCTTTCCTTTCATATAAAGTATTGGTTTTGAACTACGAAACACTCTGACGTTCTTTATCAGTGTGATTATGTGTACAAATTAGGCGAATCTTTTATTAAAAATTTCAAGCAAAATTTCACAGAATTCTAATCACTTTAAGGGTAGAATATTAACAAAAAGCCATTAGATACTTACGAGATCTCTGTTTCGTATAGTATAAATCCAAAAGATAAAATTTTTCGTTGAACTATACTATCGTTTCATATAAGAACTACTATTGTTTTAGTGTAGTATAAATCAATTCTGAGCAATACTATTCTACTGTCTAGTGTATAGTTCGATAGATGACAATTTAACAATAGTAATAATTGTTTGATATATTTTTCTGTTTGAGTTACATTCTCTTATATTTTATTCTATAGATCAAAGCAAGAATTAGAAAATTACATATAAATTACATGATTCAAGATTAGTTAAAGTTGAGATTAGCACAAAAACTTGAATGAATATATGTACTTTTATTATTGTCCAAAAATTTAGTCGAGTCTCTTTTCAAGGATGAATGAATCAATGAACTCCATCAAAACATCAGCGTAACTAAAAAAAAAGACAGTTCTGCATTTCAGAATAGTTGAAAAAAATTTACAAAATCTTTTTATATTGATTTCAAATATTTCATTTGTTTTTACCAAATATTTGCTTACCCTGATAGAATAAATTCAGAAACGAATAACAAAAAGTACTCTTTTCATATTCTCGAACACTACTTGCATATACTTTACATATCTTTGACTAAGTCTAAATCGTACAAATTTTATGTCATTTTGTAATTTATGCTTTGATCTATAGAATACAGTATAAGAGAATGTAACTTGAATAGGAAAATATATCAAACAATTGTTACTATTGTTAAATTGTCAGTTATCGAATCATACTAGATAGAGGAATAGCGTTGCTCAGAATTGATTTATGCACTGAAATGATAGTAGTTCTTATATGAAACGACACAGAATTAAATGCTATTAGTAACAGGTATCAATTGAACTTAGTATATTTCAACGAAAAATTTTTTTCTTTTTGGATTTATACTATACAAAACAGAAGTCTCATGAGTACCTAATGGCTTTTTATGGATATTCTACCCTTAAAGTGATTAGTATTTTGTAAAATTTTGCTTAAACTGCTTAGCAAAAGATTCACCTAATTTTTCTGTATACAATCATTAATAAAACAGCTTAAAATATTCCGTAGACTCAAATCAATTTTCATAGATGTGAAGATGCGACTGTCTTCGAACTATTCACAAAATCTCTGAATTGAATTTGTAAAAATGCAAATATTGATATTTATCATAAAGTATAACTATACTTTTTCAATTGTATCAACATTGATTTGGAAATTGACTTCTCTTTGACTAGAAAAGAAAAACCTCTAAGAAATATTCATTCATCATCGATTGAAATAATCAGCAAACTAAGCAAAAAAATGATGCTGTCTACTACTGAACGATTTGCTTACTAATCACTACATGAACACTAACTGTTTTTATAGATATACTTTTATTAAGGACAAGGCAAAATCATTTTTTTCAATTTAATTCTATTGAGAGATGGAAGAAGATTTTGATCATGTTTCATTAATCCTTTTATGGATAGTATCCTGAGAAAGAATTAATAAAACATAAGATATTGTATGATAATGATAAGCAACAACTCAATAGATTCCTAGAGATAAATTATGTTGAAAATTATTTATTTAAATAACAATTAATTGATTTTCTGAAAAGGTCAATAAGTACTGACAAATCAACACAATCTGGCACGATATCCTACTTATTGTCGAATGTTGGTTTTTTTTCTTGCAAATACAATGTGTTCTAATTTTTTCTATTATTCTTATAAAATACCTTTGATAATCTGCATGTATAGAGAAACATGAATGAATTTTAAAAGATTAAAATTTATTAATTAATAGATATACTTGTTAGCATGATCAATTAACAGTCGTCTACATATAGAAAGGATTCAAACTAAAAGGAGCATACATATAATAGTATGTGCAAACAGAATGCCACTTTTTCTAAAAAACATTCAATCTTTTAAATACATGAGCTTTCTTCTAGAGTGACCAATGAAGTTTATTTTGAACACAGACTAATTTATTTTCTGCTAAGACCGGTCTCTTTTCTTTCATCTTTCCGTCTTAACCATCTTAATAATGTATACTAGTAAAATGATTCAGAAGAAAAGATGCAAGAAAACAGGTTGTCATAATGAATGAACAAGCTGAAATTTATTCAAAAAGCGAGTTGAAAATAAGACTTATTCGAATATCTTTGAAAAATATGGTACCAAAATGTATCTTTAAATAGATACTCATTAGTGTGAAAATTATTCTTTCATCAAATGCTAATCAATATAATGAGAAATAATTTTTCAAAACATGATCTCAGTACAAATGTTGGCCTCAACGAATGAAGATACTGCTATTAGAGAATATCTTCATTCTTCATAAAATTCTATAACAAAACATACTTATATTACGCATTGTCATAAGAACAACAATATCTTCAGAGAGAATTTGACGAGTTCTATCGAATACACTCATTTTGATGACAGTTTGACTACATTTTTGCATCAGTTTTCTGGAAATCCCGGATGTATAGAATTCCATCAATATCTGAAGATCTTGATATTTTTTAACATCAAGATATTTTATGTTGTTTTTATTTATAAAAATACATACTTATTTTTAATTCATTTGAAATCAGCATTTAATGCTGAATAAAAATTCAATTTTTGTTTGTCTGAAAAATTTCTTCTCTTTGGATTCCACTGGAAATGTTACCATTTGATGTGAAATCTAATATTGATGACGAATATCTGACTGTATTGCACTTTTAATGTTTTTACGCTGGTCCAAATCTTAATTTTCAATGTTCTTTTTTTCATACAGTTATCTACTTGTCAAGTAATGACTTGATATTTGAAAGCTCTTAATTGAATACAAACAGGTAAAAGTTCTGCTAATATTAGATCGAGATAGCCTCTGTCTATGATAAAAAGTTCAGAGAATTTACATTTATTATTTCAAAGATAACGTTATTGTAATTTAAAAAAAAATGAAGGTACGCACTAACATGCGATGCAAAAGTCGTGGCGAAAGTGTCAAGGTCTATTAGACAGTAGTGCTGACTTCAAAATCCATCAAATTTTTTTGTGCGAGAGAACGAAGTCCGAACTAAGAATTTTGTAACAGACAGATTTTTCTGGAATCAATTTGAGAACAAGGAAAAACCGTAAATCAAACACTTCTAAAAAGTTCTTGCAATTTCATCATCCTGTAACATCATTCTCTCAGAAGAGCAATGGAAAACCAATTTATTAATGACTTTCATAGTATAAAGAGTGCTCTTTCACATGGTGTATTGAAAATTAAATGTACTCTTGTTTTTGATACTTAAATATAGCTTTTTCTAGAAGGGACTATATGATAAGTATTACAAAAAGCGCCTTTTAGAAAATTTGAACTTCTCAAGTTCTCTGATTAAGGGATCAAGAGTGAATCTAAACATTTTTATCAAAGTAGATATCGATAGATTTTCGGATACGCTATATTTGGTGTATTTTATTATAAGAATTCGATCCATGTAGCTCCAAAATGAAAACGTTTCAACTTGCAAAAATCTTGCAAGAATGTTTTAAGGAGTGTTTGAGTTTTGACTTTTTCTTTGTTTTCAGATTCATTCTGAAAAAAAATATAGCTGCTATAAAATTTGTAGTTCAGATTTTGCTCTCTCCACCAGAAAAAAATTTGATGTTTTTCGAAGTCAGCAATATTGTCTAATAGTTCTTGACACTTTTACCAAGACTTTTGCACCATATGCTAGTTGCTCTCATCATTGTGTGTTTCGAGATTAATTTTCTCTGATGTTCTAGTCTTTTGTACTAACAATCAATCTTATTGTGATTAATGATCTTGAAAGATGAAATTATTAATAATATCCGATGGAAAACGAATTGTTACTCAATATAAAGAATGAAGTTGAAAAAGTATTAGTTTTTGCATAGAATAATATTAAAATTAATAGCTTAACGTTTTTTTCTATGATTTAGGGATGTAAATTTATTGTTATTGTTATTAATAACGATAACTATACCAATGGGTATATCATCTTATATTATGATATCTTCCCTTTATCTATCTGTTGTTGTACAATTGATATTACCTAGTTTGGATAATCT